GCTGGCAGTGGTCGAGAGACAGCCCGAACTGACCTACTCTGGTGATGGGATGGCCAAACACCCTAATTGTTGTGCTAGAAACCTCATCCAACTACTGAGGGATCTGGATGCAGAGATCCATGACTAGGCCCCGGGTGGATCTCTGGGAGTCCAATTAGCGAGAATGAGGAGGGTTTATATGAGCGAGAATTGTTGAGACCAAGGTTGGATAAAGCACAGGGACAAATAGCCAAATGAATGGAAACACATGAACTATGAACCAATGGCTGAGGGGTCCCCACTGGATCAGGCCCTCTGAATGGATGAGACAGTTGATTGGCTTGATCTGTTTGGGAGGCATCCAGGCAGTGGGACCAGATCTTGTGCTCATTGCATGAGTTGGCTGTTTGAAACCTGGGGCCTATGCAGGATTGTTTGGCTCGGCCTGGGAGGAGGGGACTAGACCTACCTGGACTGAGTCTACCAGGTTGACCTCAGTCTGTGGGGAAGGCTTTGCCCTGGAGGAGATGGGAATGGGGGGGGGGTTGGGGGGAAGGTGAGGGGGACGGGAGGGGGGAGAACAAGGGAATCCGTGGCTGATATGTAGAACTGAATTGTATTGCAAAATAAATTAATAAAAAAAAAAAAAACCTAAAAAAAAAAAAAAAAAAAAAAAAAACACCATGACAGCCGGGCGGTGGTGGCGCACGCCTTTAATCCCAGCACTCGGGAGGCAGAGCCAGACGGATCTTTGTGAGTTCGAGGCCAGCCTGTTCTACAGAGCAAGATCCAGGAAAGGCGCAAAGCTACACAGAGAAACCCTGTCTCGAAAAACCAAAAAAAAAAACAAAAACACCATGACAATACAAAGCACTTCCATTGGAGCTCGGCCTGAAGAGGGACAGACAATGAGACCCTTCAGTATCACAAGGAGGCTATGGCAAAGTACTGTTCAGAGGTGCAAAAGGGAAGGTTGTTGAACTGAGTCCAGCCGCCCCCTCCCCCTCAAGATGAAAAGTCACTTTGTATGCAATGGGTCTATCGGAATCCGATTAGACTCTGGAGTTCTGTCTGTTATAAGCACTGCTGAATGCCAGGACACCTCTCCCCATTACACCCCAAGTTTCTGACCTGTGCTGCACTTTCCTCCTGTTCTTGCCTCCTTCCCACAACCGACAAGAAGGTGTAATGAACTCTCCCACCTCAGTGCCAGGTCCTCATTTCAACAAAGCATCCAAAGGAGAGCAGTTTTGCCTGTCTGGTCACCAGCTGCCACTCTAAACACACTATAACACAGTCAATCAGAACTGCTTTCAGGAGGTTCTGTCAGTCTTATTTGGGAGAAAACTACATAGGCAAGATGAAGAGCAGAACAGGTAGCAAAAGGCCAAGCCCAGAGGAGCACTATGGAGTGTGGGATATGGGCAGACTGAAGCTGATGGTGTCACCTTTTCCCTCAAAGCCATGCTAATCTCTTCCCTCAAAGCTACAACAAGCACAGATGATTTTCTTTACAAAGATGATCAATTCTGAAGGGAAACAGAGGAGTGGAGGAAGGGGAAACAGTGGTTGGGGTGTAATGTACGAGAGAAGAATTTTAAAAAAAGATCAATTTTTTTATCGTCATTTTAATGTCTAAATGGCTTCATGAAAAGGTGACCTTATCAACAGTATAGCAGATGTCCGAGCCCGGCCAGCACCAGGACTAGAATGCTTGCGATACTCTTCACAGCCATGGTAGATCATGAAACCAGTACATAGGCAAGAGATAAGCTCACATGGTTTTTAGTTCCTGTAAGTCCTCCCACTATGTTGTGTGGACCAGGATGGCTATGACAGTCTAAGAGGCTTTGAACCCCTAACTCCAGTTCCCATTCACTGTGAGGGATGACCTGGGAAGAGAAATGTAGGCTGCATCTGATCCAGAGAGGAATGAAAAGAAACTCACCCTGAAAGCCCATGCCATTCATCCCCCAAAGCAGGGAGTTGCCAGAGAGTATGGTCAACACTGAATCCCACAGATTCTCCATCTTCAGCTAGAACTGCACTGAGGTCCTAATGTGTCCTTAAAAATTACAACATGTGGAGGTTCAATCTTCCCAAAGTCCAGTACATTAACTCAACAAAACCTTTAACTTTCAAACAGTTTCACATTTTGATGCTTGCAGTATATTTTAGGAATGAGTGTAGCTGGGAGCCCTAGAAATCATTCCTGAGCTAGTTGGATACTATTTCACTAACTACCCTGAGAATTATCACTGACCTCTCTCTGCAGATGGATCAGGAGAGGCCCCATCCTAGGATGTCCCAGAGAGAGATGGTGAGCACCCAGCTAGAACCCTTGCCCGTGTCCATCACATGGACACGCACAACCCATGTGCTTATTTAATGCCATTTGCACCAGTTACCACATAAATTAAGTCAATTTAAAACTGATTTTCCAGACCTGCTTAGTTACAATGCAGTTGACTTTTTGCTTAGAAAATCACTTATAAAAGTTGAGTGGTCCCAGGGGCCACCAGGAGCTGAGATGGAGACATACAGATAGGACAAGACAAGTGGCTAGGAACAGAAGGTTTCACATCTGAGCAACTGCTCAGAAGGCCCCAATGCACCTGACATGTGTGACATGTGACAATGACCTGATGTGTGTCTTTAGAAGAAAGCCTTTTCTCCAATAAATAATTTATCAATCTCTAACTCTTTAATGAAAATAAACTGACCTCCATCAAGTGTCATAATTTATGTTTCCTAATCTTAATCTGAGAGCCAGGGTGGGAAAGGCTCAAAGAATGACACACCACCATGACATGCAGGAAGCATCCCACGCTCCAGCCTACACCTCACATCCTTATCTCAGTCTTCAGAATCCCCAAGCAAAAGCAGTTCACAGTTGCCTTGGCAACCCAAGGATTTAAGACTAAGAAAGTATACAGCCAAAATCACTTGTTGGATTCTGAAAACACCTTCTGCTCGCTGACTACATTTGAAACCTCCAGCCCACAGGCTCTAGGATTGTTCCACTTACTAATTTACCATTGACTCCCATGGGATGCATGCCCCCAACATTGCCACCTGTAGGGAAACTGACTGGGCACATGCATATATTCTGAAACAAGCAGAGGATGGCCCCAACATCTGTGAGCCTCAAAATGTGCCCCAAAAGTCTCAGGATTCACCAGGTTTAGGTCAGAACTGACAAAAGATTATAAGCAAATGCAGAAGGCAGACGTTACTATCCATATCTATTGCCTTGAGGGCTTCTCCACAGGAACAATTATCAGGAAATGATTGATACTCTTCTGATTCAGTTCAGTCCATCCCTAGGGAGAACAGGGGATGCTTGGAGATATGTGTACATGTCAGGAGATATTTGTGGTTGTTACAACTGTGTCAAATGCCACTGAAACCTTGTGGGTACAGATGCTGCTCAACAACAACAACAAAAAAAACGAAACAAAACAAAAGCCGGGCGGTGATGGCGCATGCCTTTAATCCCAGCACTTGGGAGGCAGAGCCAGGCGGATCTCTGTGAGTTTGAGGCCAGCCTGGGCTACCAAGTGAGTTCCAGGAAAGGCTCAAAGCTACACAGAGAAACCTTGTCTCGAAAAAAAAAAAAACCAGATGCTGCTCAACATCCTCCCATCCCCAGGACACCAGCACAGAGAACGATTCAGCCCAACGTGGAGCAATGCTGAGCAAAACCAACCTTTACAAACATGCCAAAATCTGGCTCTGGCTCTGTGCTTGGTGTCTCAGTGTTGGAAACACAGGGCAATGAGAACTTTAAAAATAAAACTGAAGTGTGTGGAGAGAGATGGTTCAGCAGTTAAGGGCACTTGTTGCTCTTGTAGAGGAACCAAGTTTAATTCTCAGTACCCACGTGATGGTTCACAACAATAGCAACTGCAGTTCCAGTGTATATATGATACCATATGCTAACCTCCACTGGCACCAAGCACACACATGGTATACATACATAAGTGCAGACAAAACATTCATACAAAATAAATAAATCTAAAAAAATTTTTAAGTTCTGGAGATGGATAGTAGTACAACATGAATATATTTAATGCCAATGAACTACTCCGTTAAAAATGTTTACAAGGCTGAGGGGCTGAAGAGCTGGCTCAGCAGTTAAGAGTACACTGTTTTTGCTGAGGACCCAAATTTAACTCCCAACATCCATGTCAGGAAGCTCTCACCTGCTTCTGGCCTCTGTGGGTACCTGGAGTCAAGTGCACATATAATTCCCCACTCCACCTCATACACATGTAATTAAGATTAAAAAAATAAGTTTTAAAAATTTAAGTATGTAGATACTGGTATATGCATGTGAGTACAGGTACCCATGGAGGCCAGAGGTATCAGACCTCTCTGAAGCTAGAGTTATAGGCAGTTGTGAGCCGCCAGACATGGATGCTGGGGATTGAACTCAGGTCCTCAGCAAGAGTAGTATATGCTTGTGACCACCGAGCCATGAGACACACTCATCCCTCACTATGAAGCTGTTTTCAGTACAACATCCCAGTTTGAAGCAGCAAGAAACTGAAGACCAAACACTACAAGAGCCAAGCAAAAGTCTGGGGTAGGGAATAGAACTGAGGGCCACTCCGGTGACTTTCTGGGTGGCCCTGACAGTACCAAGGAAACGTCTGATAAATGAGGAAAGACAGACAACTCAGAACAGCTGAGCTTCCCCAACTGTCCCCTTACTGTTCAACTACAGACCCTGTACCTTGTCTTAGTGGTTTCATGGAAGCCCCACTCAAGCAACCTCTACATACTGGAGCTGTATTAATGGGATAGACACACCAGTACTGTTAGGGCCCCAAAGTCATCTTAGCCTTGGTTACATGTAGGTCATATTCCCTGCATTCACACTAATTTACTGTGATAGAAGGTGACCATAGGAAGCCATTAGTGTGAGCATGGGAATATATCACTTCACCAACAGCTATGAAGTCATCAACACAGTGACCTGGGCCATCTGCACCCAGCTTGTCACAAGAAAGGCTTACTTGAGTCTCGGCTGCTGAAAGGCCATCCTGATGTGGGCAGGAATGAGGGTACTGGGGAGCCAGCCCGGCTGTCCTCCTCCACCTGCTGTGTGATATGTCGGACAGTCTCTTTGTTTTTCCTATTCTTCCTCCGGCCTGTGGGCTGCCAGCCATCCCCAGCACCCTGCTCTGATAAAGAGTTCTGTATTGCAGTGTCCTTGGAGGATGGAAGTTCACTCCCTCCATAATGTGATGGTGAAACCTGTTCTTCCTTGATGCGCAAAGACCCATAGCCTACATCTCCAGGCCACAAAGACTGTGAAGAAATGTCATCAGGACCATCAACTTTAGGTTCCTGGTCCTCCTTCCCATAGCTGCTCCCTCCTTCATGACAGCTAGCAATGGCAGAGTCTCCAGAAGAATTGGCAGGACTTGTTCTCCGAGCCAGCCATGGGGAGATGCTCCTTCCAGCCATTACAGCTGAGATCAGTGCCTCTGTGCTGTTGCTGGCTGGGGTGCCAATCTCAAACTCAGAGAGTTCGTCTGAGGCATCTGACTTGATGCTGATGTCCAGTGCAGCCTTGATGAAATCATGGCAGGCCTGCACAATGTCAGTCATCTGTAGGAAGCTGGCAGCTGACATCACCTCTATGACATTCCTGCTGGTAAGAGCCAGGTGGGCAGAGTACATGAAGTCAATAATGGCCTTGAAGCCTTGGGCTGTGACAATGTCCAAATGAGTGACTGTTGCCTGGTCAGATGTCTTCTGTACCTGGCAGTAGAGTGTCTTGAAGTAGCGGCTGCTCCCAAGCAAGACGTTCTTGTGTGCCTTGAAGACCTTGCCCTCCACCACGACACACACATCACATAGGACTCCGTGCTGCCTCTGCTCATTGAGCTCTCGAAGCAAATGCCGGTAGTGAGAAGTGATTTCCATATCTTCCTTTCGGTTGTTCATCTGGGAGCCTTGCTGCTGCCTCTTCTATAGACTCTGTGGGGAGAAGAAAACAGTTACCCATACATGAAACCCCTCTGCTATGAAATAAATCCAGATAGATGGCAGCAAAGTGCATGCAAAGGTTCGGCATCCATCCAGCAGACACAGGCTGCCAAACCAGAACAGAGTGGAGGCAGTGGGGACAAATGCTGATAGCAGAGGCCATCACCACAGGCCCTGCAGCACAAATGTGCTAAAGAGGTCTGAAGTCATGACTTACTCTAACAGCAACTGGCAAGTGGGCATCAGCCCTGTCCTGGGTAAGATGTCTGAAGTACTTCTAAGACCATAATGGACTTGAGGTTTTAGACAGCTAACATACCCAAACAAAAAAATTGCCCATCAGTAGACAAAGTTATTTTCTCACACAAAGTGAAAAGTTAGGTTAAACAACCTAGCCCTGCAGTCCTCATCCCTCACATTTGAGAAAACATCCTTTATATATAAAAATATATAAAGAAGGGGAGGCGGTGGGAGAAAATGGAAGGAGAGGAGGGAGGGGAAAATGCACTTGGGATATAAAATAAAAAAATAAATTTAATTAAATATATACACATATATAATTAAGGCATACACTGTTGGGAGCCATGCGGCCTAATTTCGGACCAGTATATGAGTGCTTGTCCAACAAGTCTCCAGATGAGGCAAATGCCCACAGGGACAGTCTCACTTGGCAAGGACCAACGGACTTTGAGATAGAGCAGAATACTGCTGGGACCACTTGGCCTGCATGCTCTCTTCTCTCTTGTAATATTGATAATTCTTTTAGTAGTTTTTGTGTCATTTTGTAAACCATGCAGAGACAGATGTGATCATTCTTGGAAACCCCATTTTTTTCTCAAACATGTTCCCCTAAAATTCTTTGGGAACTGATGCTTCTCAGGTTTCTTGTCTGGGGATGCCAGCTGTCACTTCTGACCTCGGGAGCTGTTCTAATTCAGTGCTGACAGGATCAGAGGCAGATCAACCCTATTTCTGTAAAAATGTTTTTTTTTGTTTGTTTGTTTGTTTTTGTTTTTGTTTTTTGTTTTTGTTTTTGTTTTTTTCGAGACAGGGTTTCTCTGTGTAGCTTTGCGCCTTTTCCTGGAACTCACTTGGTAGCCCAGGCTGGCCTCGAACTCACAGAGATCCGCCTGGCTCTGCCTCCCAAGTGCTGGGATTAAAGGCGTGCGCCACCACCGCCCGGCTTGTAAAAATGTTTTAAAGGAGATTGTTGTTCTTGAAAATCCATGCCTATGTCAATCATCTTTTAGTTATGTAAAGACAGGATATACCTGGCTTGATATTTGGCCACACAAGTAAAATGGTAAGTGTTTTTGGTTTAAAGATATTTTGATGCGGAGCTGGAGAGATGGCTAAGCGGTTAAGAGCACTGACTGCTCTCCCAGAGGTCCTGAGTTCAATTCCAGCAACCACATGGTGGCTCACAACCATCTGTAATGAGATCTGGTGCTCTCTTCTGTAGCTAGAGTTTTCCTGCCTGGCCCACAGTCAGGACAAATCTCTCTCACCTGCCAGTCCCACAGCCGTCAGACCCAACCAAGTAAACACAGAGACTTATTATATTGGTTACAAACTGTATGGCCGTGGCAGGCTTCTTGCTAACTGTTCTTACAGCTTAAATTAATCCATTTCCATTAATCTATACCTTGCCACGTGGCTCGTGGCTTACCGGCATCTTCACATGCTGTTTCTCGTCATGGTGGCTGGCAGTGTCTCTCTGACTCAGCCTTCCACTTCCCAGCTTTATTCTCCTCCTTGTCCCGCCTACACTTCCTGCCTAGCCAATGGCCAATCAGTGTTTTATTTATTGACTAATCAGCAACACATTTGCCATACAGAAGATCCCACAGCACTCTTCTGGCTTGCAGGGTCACATGCAGGCAGAACACTGTATACATAATAAATAAATCTTTTTTTTTTTTTTTTTTGGTTTTTCGAGACAGGGTTTCTCTGTGTAGTTTTGCGCCTTTCCTGGAACTCACTTGGTAGCCCAGGCTGGCCTCGAACTCACAGAGATCCGCCTGGCTCTGCCTCCCGAGTGCTGGGATTAAAGGCGTGCGCCACCACCGCCCGGCAATAAATAAATCTTTTAAAAAAAGATATTTTGATGTAAAAGTTGGGAGAAAACATATTTGACATATTTGTTTTTGCCAGAGGTTAACGTTGGAGGATGGAAAAAAACTTGCTTGTTAGTATGGAAAAACATGCTTGTTTTTGATGTTTACATAAGATGGCTGGCGCTATTCCAGGCTGGCCACTTTTGTGAAACTCAGCTGGTGGTGGACAATTCATTTCTTCATGCCAATGCCCCTTCCCTGTCTCAGGACCTAAACTCAGGCTGCAGAGGGATCATGGCAGTATGCCTTTAATGCCAGCACTTGGTAGGCAGAGGCAGGTGGATCTCTGTGAGTTCAAGGCCAGCCTCGTCTACAGTATGGTCTACAGAGTGAGTTCCAGAAAAGCCAACGCTACACAAAGAAACCCTGTCTGAAAAAAATAAATAACATATACACGCAAATTTGTAGGTATTCTTTGTACAGAGGCCATACTAATCTTCTGTATTATTCTGATGTTGCTAAAGCAAGGACTCTAGCCCTTGTTCGTTTGTTTTTGTTGTTGTGTTTCTCTCATACATTACATCCTGACCAGATCCCCTCCCTCCACTCCTCCCAGTCCCTTCCCACCTCCCCTCTCCCCCAGATCCACTCCTTATCTCCCTTCAGAAAAGAGCGTGCCTCTCAGGGACATCAACCAAACACCATTTAACAAGTTACAAGACTAGGCACAAACCCTCATATCACAGCTGGAGGAGGCAACCCAGAAGGAGGAAAAGGGTCCCAAGAGCAGGCTAAGAGTCAGAGACATCCCCATTCCTACTGTTAGGAGTCCCACAAGAACACAACCATAACATATATGCAGAGGACCTAGTTCAGACCTGTATAGGCTCCTGACTGTCGCTTTAGTCTCTTGAGTCCCTATTAGCCCTGCTTAGTTGACTCTGTGGGCTGTGTTCTTATGGTGTCCTTGACCCCTCTGGCTCCTACAATCCTTCATAGCCCCTTTTCTGCAGGGTTCTCTGAGTTCCACTTAATGTTTGGCTGTGGGTCTCTGCATCTGCTCCTGTCAATTGCTTGATGAAGCCTATCTGATGACCACTGGGCTAGGCTCTGGTCTATGAGTATAGGAGAATATTTTGTTGACTTTTTTTTTTTTTTTTTTTTGGCCAGTCGTGTTTGGTTCTATCCTAGGTCTCTAGGCTATTCAGCCTCTGGTTGCTGGCCATCCAGGCAGCGTCAGGCATGGGCTCCCTCTCGAGGCATGGGCTTCAAGTTGGACCAGTCATTAGTTGGCCACTCCCACAAGTTCTGTGCCACCATTACCCCAGCACATCTTGCAGACAGGACAAATTGTTAGGTTGAACGTTTTGTAGCTGGGTTGATGTCCCAGTCTAAGAAGCCTTGCCTGGTTATAGAAGATGGCCAGTTCAGGTTCTATATCCCCCATTACTAGGAGTCTTCACTCAGGTTACCTTCATAGATTCCAAGGAGTTTCCATTTTACAAGGTTTCCACATTGCCCCTGAAATGCCCCCCAATTCCGGTACTCTCTCCCAGTACTCTCTCCTTCCATCCCACTACCCCTCCCTGACCTGATCCCTCCAGTTCTGATCCCCACCTGCAAGATCTTTTCTATTTCCCCTTCCCAAGTAGATCTATGCACCTCCTACCCCTTGAGCTCTCCTTGTTACTTGGCCTCTCTGGATCTGTGACTTGTAGCATGATTATCCTTCACTTGACAGGAAATGGGTGGTAGTGGTACACACCTTTAATCTTCAGTTTTTGAGATAGGGTATCACAATGTAGTTCAAGATGGCCTCAAACTCTCAGGTCCTCTGGCTTCAGCCTCCTGAGAGCTGGGATCACAGATATGTACCACCAGGCCCAGAATCCTTCTTTTCTTGACTAACTGAAATGTGTGTCAACACTTGTACCCTCCCCAAGCCACCACATGAAATGACCTATCAAATATCCTCAAGGAGAAGCAGTAACTCTGTGTTTCATCTCGCAGGCTGGGCAAATAAAGGCAGGAAACAGTTCCTTCCTTTCCCTCAGACTGCTAAGGTCTCCACCTCCTGTCCCTTTCTCATAGTAAGGTCCCTAGACTTCTCATCTGACCTGAGGGTGTAGGTAAACTGTCCTACCCTCTTCTGTCTTCCTTCTGCTGGTGGTAGGACAAGTACATTTGCAGAGTCCACATGTGTCAGCCCAAGCTCCCAGTGACATCCCACTAGACTATCTCCTTATCTTGAAGAGTACCTCTGCTGCAGGGCACTGTGTAGGTGCTGAGGCTGTGCCTCTGAACAAGAATATCTTCCTTATCCTATCTGTCTCTAGACTTGAAGGCTGGTGCTTAAACTGTTCCTACTGTACATCAACCCTACCACACTGGCGTGAATGCCAAATGTTCCCCAGCAAGTAACCAAGAAGGTAGTGAACCCAGGTTCAGGACTGGCCACAAGAAGTGTGTGCTCAGACTGAGCAAGTTTTTACCCTGAGTTCACTAGAGCACTGGGGGCAGATGTCACTATCAGATATCATCCCTTTATTATCTTTATTCTTCACATGGGGCTCTACCACCCCCAGATTAACTGATGTTGAAGGAGGAACCAAAGCTCATTTCAAATAGAATACAACAATTCCTAAACTAATTAGTATTAGCGAATGCCTATAGTCTGCAGAAAGTGACAGCCAAGTGATAAGGGACATCAGAAATTTTATGTACCCTACATTCAAACCAGGAAGTATATGTTTCATTATTTATTTATTTTAGGCAAGATCTCACATTATAGCCCTGACTGTCCTGAAAATCACTATTAAGACCAAGCTAGCCTCAAACTCACAGAAACCTAGCTGCCTCTGACTCCCGAATGCTGGGATTAAAGGCATGTGCCACCATGCCTATCCCGTAATTATTTTTTATATAAGAAATAGC